GGGCAAACCACTTAACTTGCCAAATTTGAGAGTGTTTGGTTGTGCTGCTTACGTGAATCGTGTGAATGATAAATCTGAACCTAGGACTAAGGAATATGTTTTCTTAGGATATCATGATTGCATGAAAGGTTATAGGCTTTGGCGTAGGAGTGAAACTTGCTTCAATGTGTTGATGAGTAGAAATGTCATTTTTGTTGAAAATGAATTTCCTTGCCTGCTTGTTTCTCCTGATGTTGCTCCAAATGAGGTGGAGCATTTGCCTGATATTCATTCTGATTTACTTGTTGAAACCGAACCCAAATTTGTGGATGAAAATGTTTTTCATGTTGAAAATAAAGAAAATAATATTTCTATTAAGGTGGAGCATGATATGAATGTTGTGTGCAATATGCTTGAGTTGCGTGATTGCCCTGTTATTAGAGATAGAGACATTAGGAAGCATGTGAGAAATTATATGTGCAATGTGTTTGACTATATTTCCTCTGAGTTTGCTTTAAATGTGCTTAATTCTCTTTTAATTAAAATCTTTGTGATATTTGGTATGCTATTTTCTTTGTGTTTTGAAAATGTGATACCATGTGATTATGTGAGCTCCGCCTGTGCTAGTTATAGAAATAATATTGTTTCTTTTATTTTCTTTGTACTTGCTTTGTGTGGTTGTTGGATTAGTTGGAATCCCCAACTTCTCCCGGATGCTTGCTTGCGTGGTCTATTAACATGTGTTGTGCTTGTTAATAGTTTTGTGATGGTTTTGGTTCTGAACTCGAGGACCGATTGGTAGAGTTCAGTCCATCGTGAAGTGGGTTTGCATGGTAAGCTTGGTCCGAAAGGGAACTTTGGTTCTCATCTATTACTTGTATGATCGCAATGATGTACTTGTAATAATCCGGCGATGATGAGTCTCCTCACAACTTTGTATTGCTACTCTACACCACCTAGGACCAATAAGGTGGAGAATGTTGGAGGTATTGGTCCTACCAAGGCCTCCTTTCCACTTTATTATTGACTTGCACCCCATGTTTACTCCCACTTTGGCACCTCTTTATTTGATTCTCTCCTAAACAATAATATGGCCATTTTGACTTATGTGGAGTGACCCCTTTGAGCTGTCCTATGCTGCCCTCCTTGTCTTTGCATCACATGTGAGTGTCCTTGTGTCTACCAGCCTATTATTTAGTAGCTTTTACTTCTCCCTTGTTGAAGGAGCCTGCGTGAATCTTAGAGAGAGCAGTGCCCTTCTTCTTCTTCTCCATTTCCTTTGTGTGAGAGTGTGAGAGAGAATACCTTAGTGGTAGAGAAGAAGCTTGGAGTTGTGTTGTGGTCTAGCCTAGGGTGGTGTGTGAGAGTATAGCAAAAGGGTTGGAGACCTGAGCCGGAAAGAAATCGACACCCAACATACTTTTTCACAAGAATGACTTCAAAGAATGAATAAACAAAAAATATTGTTTTGGGATAAAGATGACAGATAAATACTTACATTTTCATCTTGCAATATTATGGGTATGTATAACTTTCCAGGGCTACTTGTTTTGTCCAAACCAAAATGGATCTGTATGAAACTAAATTTGTATGTTTGGTTATCCCTGATTTTCTTATTGATGTTTGGTTATTAATAAGATTCTTAATTTCGGCAACCTGAATACATTTTGAAAAACAACACAAATCAAATGGAATGTAATTAAGCAGAAGATGAACACAACTTTACGGGCAGATTGTGATATATTCTACTTAGTGGAGAATGAAGAGAGAGCTTACTCCAATTTAGTGGGAATTATTGGCAAAACTCGTAGATCCCTTGAATTTCCAGTGGGTAACCATGGCTGTGAGCGAAGAACTCTGAACGGAAAAGAAATCGAGTAGGCCGTTCCGAAAACAAGTGAAGCTAAATTTATTTCCCCGTTTCCGTGTTTGTTGCTAGATTACAACGATGAAGGTGAACTAACGAAACTAACGGGTGTTAAAATTTAGACGGCATATAAGGGTAAAGAAGCCAAAATGGAAAAGTAGGTTTCACTTTCTAATAGAAATGTACAACATCTTATGCTAGAAGTGTATTGACATAAATCAAGGGCACCAACTCTCATTCTCTGTTATATTGTTGTTAGATGTTAGATTATACAAGCTTCAATATTTAAATAAAACATTAATAAATATGTTTAGAATGTTAATCGCACACTCAAAAACTATTACTACCTTCATCTCACTAATATTGGGACATGAGGGAATGACACGATTATTAAGAAAATAAGTATATCTGATTAATATTGAATTAATAAAGTAAGAATGAAACAAAATTGAGTTAAAGTCACACAAACATTACGAATTTTGGAATGAACAATCTTGGTGGATTTTCTGAAAAAGAAAGATGAGACAATTTTAACGGGACGTAGGAAGTAGAGTATTTAAGTAATTTACTTAAAACTATAAAATTACATCTGTGAAAGAAAAAACATACGATTTCGTTCAAAAAATTATGATTATGATGGTAAAACAACTCTTTATATAAAGTTTGAGGTACTTATATAGTTATACAAGTTTGGGGGTGCTTACCTCACATCCCTCAAAAGTTCGAGGTTATTAAATTATTTTCTCCTTGTATATATTAATATAATCTTAACATTTTTGGTCTAGAGTTTCAACCATCAGAAAGTTTTATTAATTACATATGATATCGTACGTGACACTAAAAGTGATGTTTAAGAGCTAGATAAATAACCTAGACCGTATATAAAAGGTACATAGTAATTCTTTTGCTCATAAATATAACTTTAATATAATATTATTTGGTCATGAAAATTGAGACCATTTTTCGTTTTTGAATATGAGACATTTGTCTTTTTTATTTTCATTGCATAATTAATTTGACATTTTTATGTTTCGATTATAGCTACCTCTTTATGTGATGATAATCTTTTTATAGGTATTATTCATCACCATCAAGGGAAAATTGTCTATTAAAAATCTAAAGCATGCAACTCTTTTTGTTCAATAATATTTATTTTACTTAATAAGATCATATATATCTTCAATAACTTAATCTAATGGAAAAAAATTGATCGTTGTAAATCACAATATGCAGCATATTGTCACCATTATCGACTTCATTAAAATCGGAATGTCACAAAACTATATAATCTTAATTGTTTTCTTAAAGAGAGAGAGATCAAAAGACTAATTCGGAAATTTCAAAAACCTAGAAGGGCTAATATCTAAAGAAAGTGACTACACCCATTTTTAGATAATTAAATTAACAAAATGTGTAGTTAGTTTTGAAAAAAAAGTAAGCCACAGATGAAATTAAATGGATAAAAATAGGCATTGATCATTTTCTTTTTGTTTAGATTCAAATAGATTCATTTTTGTTGGATGCAACTGAGAGTTATAAAAACCATGTTTTTTGCATTGGAAGATATAGATTGGAAACATGTTTAGAATTAGTTCAAAAATAAGGTACACTCAATGAATTAGAATATGCATTTTAAATAAATGTTATAATCGACCAAATAAATGATTTTACGTTACTAAAACTAAAAAATAAAATCATTTTATCTCGTGCACGGCATGAGTAAAGGTACTAGTTTAAATACAAATCAATGAGAGATGAAGAAAGTACAGTATATATGACCAAGAAATGAGAAATATATCAACATAACATTAAGTGCCCGTTTGGTAGCCCAATTTTTCGGTTTATCACGTTTATCAATTTTTTTTCACCAAACACGTAATTCTCTATTTTGCACGTTAAATTGCGTACTAATAAGAAAAAATCAGGTTGAAGTTACTTTTCTAGCTGTATTGGTCGAAGTTACTATAAAGGTCCATTTTAGTTATTTTTACATATAATTTTTTCTTTATTTTATTAATAAAATATATTTTCAATATAACTTTTAGCCAATTCAACCAATTCAGCCAGAACTTCATAAATTTCAGCAGAATCAATCGATTAAGCCGATATTGGTATCGCCAAAAGAGCTCTAAATGTTTATATCAAATCTATCAAATTTGTAAAATATTTGAGTTTTTTTTTTGTTTTTCAATATATATTCATTCAAAGCAAGTCTGGTTGATTAAACCTATGTTGTAAAAACCGGACCGGTGAGCGATCCGGTCATGTGACTGGGTCGCGGGTCAACCTGGACCCGGAGGGTCAACCCGGTCAAAGCCGGAAAACCGGTCAACGATTATACGTCTATATAATAATAATAAACATATAATTATATACACTCTAATTATATATTTTTATTTGTATTGTACATTTATATTATAATTTGGCATTATTTTCATTCTTAAATAAATATATAAATATATTACATAGTTTTTCTTTTTAGGGAATTGAAATTGCAATTTTATTGGTTTAAAAAATGCATTAAAATTAAAAAAGAAATTACTTTTTTTTTTGGAAAAGACCGAAAACGGGTTTTCCCGGGTTTTTCGGGTTTCTTGGGTCGGGTCCGGATCGGATTTTTTCGGGTCAGCCGGGTCCGGGTCAACCCGGCCGGGTCGGGTCGGTTTTTTAAACATAGGATTAAACTTCAGAAAAAATTCCCAAAAGCAAGAAATAAATTTTTATACATAGCACGTGTGAGTCACCGGTAGGCATGGACAAGTCCTGGGCCGGTTCATTTTTTTTTTCGCTTTTCTAATTAACCTCGACCACCCCTCACCCCCCCAAAACACTCAGCCTAACCCTGGAAAAACAAAAAAAATTAAATAAGAAAAGAAAAAATAAGACCGAGTCCGTCCGGTCCGGTACCAAAGGATAGGGTAACCCGGAACCGTTCCGCCCAACCTCCGGGCCGGGCCTAAACCCGGAATCAAGCCCGGTTCACCGGGCCGGTCCGAGCCCGCAAAGTGATTGGCCGAGCCGGTTCCCGGGCCGACCGGAACTGATCCATCCCTAGTCACGGGTACACTAACGAAGATCACAGTATGCATGCCGGTTGTGTTTGACCATCATGCACCGAAAAAATCTGTACCGTTCACATGTTGCGGGCTTTAAACCGACCCACGTAGCAACTGGTCACTTGGTTGGCCTAATAAAAAATAAATACTGTTTCACATTTCAAATCTTTTTATTTTCTCAGACTTATCCGGATCTAGGTCTGTTCCTTCTCCATTCTCCTCAATCTCTCCGCACCCAACGTTCCAATCAGGTACACCTGGTTTACGCATGTCATCTTCCCGGATCCGTTCTGTTCTATACGCGTATTTTCGATATCGGATCTATTTTATATTTCTTCTTGTATCGGATATGATTTCAGTTACTTGAGCGGTATTAATGAATCGGCGATCTTTATAGTTTTCTGGTTTGCGTTCTCCGATTTGGTTTGGGTAGCAAAGTCTAAGCTTGTTTTTCGTTTTCAATTTGACGGAGAAAACTGTAATTCCTTGTTTCATTTCATGTTAATTGCATTCTTTCTGACTTTCTGTATTGGGTAACCTGAACATAAAAATTGTATTCTTTCTCCGTGTGCTCGTAAATTTGAAGGTTTTACACTTTCATTCATTTGAGTTCTCCTGTGTGTACGTGTGTGTCATGTTGTAGATGGGGGCTGCTGCTGGCTTTGATTTAATGTCTTATCGAATTATCGCAGTCTGTTGTTAATAAATATTGATATTTGATTGATCCGAAAACACCAATTCAAGAGAACATTTCTAAAGGAACCTTTGTTTCCAGGTTTGAGAATCCAACACTAGTTCACGAGAACTGGTTTGTGTCTGCATAGCCGCCTATCGATTATCAACCAAGTTTCATGTCTGAAGTCAACCTTGTGACTCCTACCGCCTTTGGTACAATCTTCTGTAGCCTGTACTCTTGTTTAATATTTTCCGAAGTCTCTGGTAATTTATTTTACATTGATGAAATTAAAATTCAGCTGGTCAATTAAATTAATACAAATTGCTCATGCAATGTTTAGAATTCATAACACAGTGTTTAGTGGCATCAAGTTGAATGATATACGAAGTGATAAAGAACATAGTTAATGTGCTTGAAGTTGCCAAGTTGAGGAGTAAATGGGTAATTGATACAAGTGTTAGTTTATGTATAAAATAGACCTGACATAGTGCTGATTTTCCAATCTGTTCAGATCCCTTTGCTGATGCAAGTGGTGAGAACTCTGCTGCGGGAACAAAAGAAGAGTATGTGCATGTGCGTATTCAGCAACGGAATGGTAGGAAAAGCTTGACGACTGTGCAGGGGGTGAATAAACAATACAGCTATGATAAAATACTGAAGGACCTCAAGAAAGAATTTTGCTGCAATGGAACTGTCGTTGACGACAATGAATTAGGCAAGGTATGAACAAATCACACTGTACTAATGTTTGTAGTTATATACGGAGTACTACTTATATATATTTGTTGAGTCCTTGAGTTTTAAATAGGAAGTCTGAAAGTCTCGACTTGAGATATGGAAAACAGAATAAGATGAGTTAACTACTAAACTCAAGCATTATTTTTAATTGTGAGACCATGTAAAAAATAAATTGTGAAAGTCAGTACAGGGTTGTCTATTCTCGAATTAATACTAATTACTAATGAGCAAAAATGAACCATTGAACTGATGAAATAGCCAAAAATAAAAATAGGCATGATGGGAATCTTTTGGAAAGCCTGCTAGCATCTCTTTATACACACACATATATGTTTTTTCATCCATTATAACACTGATCTTTGTATTACAACATGAATTTTTATAGGTTATTCAGCTTCAAGGTGACCAAAGGAAGAACGTATCTGCCTTCCTTATAAATGTAATTCCTATCTGTTTTTTCATGCTATAGTTTTGTACTTTTGTTGCACATGTTCAACAAAATGTGTGTACAAAACTGCATATCATATAAGCAGAGCCTTGATGCTTCATTATATTGAATGACCTTGCATTGGATTTCTTAACGGGTGTGTTTTTAAACTTTGGAAGCAGGCTAAAATTGCGAAGAAGGACAACATTAAAATCCATGGTTTTTGATCTGCTCGCGGATAACATAATACCTACCTTCTTTGATTGTAAAAGGACTGATTTACCTTCTTTGATTGTATGTCCTTCCCAATATGCACTTCTATTTCATGGTTATGACTTCTCATTTTGAGAAAGATGGGTTGTTGACTCTGTGTTCGCTTTTGATGTAATTGATGGCTAAAGCTATTGTTGGCAGATTCTCATGTGGAAATATAGTGTTTATTATATGAACACTTAGGGATGCATCTGGACTGGAATTTAGGATTTTAAATTCCCAGGGCTGTCTGAACTGGAATTGTATGCATCACTAGTCCCAACTCCCAATTGACCAATTCCTACTTCCTAGTGCACCCTTTTTATCAATATATACTTAAATAAAGCGTGTAAAACATTTTGTTGTTATAATTTGATATGAATGGAATATATAAATAGGGATAGACGATACACCCACATACATGATACATGCTTATGCTCCAGAGTTTTTTTTTTTTATGTTGATGCCATTTTTGTTGAAAACGTGTTTTTAGTTTTTACTCGTATTACTGTGCCATTCCTAAGCAAAACCAAAATTTCAAGCATGCCGGATTGCCGGACAGTTGCCTACATAATTTGAACTTTGGATAGGTGCAGGCATCCGTCATTCCGTCTCACTCCATGCTATGGCTGGACTCGGGCCGGTTCGGGCCCGGTTCGGGCCTGGGCCCGGCCGGGCCTCGGGCCAGAAAACTAGGGCCCGGGCCCGAACCGCCGGTGGGCGGTTCCGGTTCCGGTTCCGGGCCAAACCGGGCCGGGCCGGGCCGGGCCGAACCGGCCCACTTAATTTTTTTTTTTTTTTTTTGGTCTCCTATTTAATCCCCTACCCCTCCCCCTCAACCCCAAACCATCCCAAACCACCTCAAATGGCCCAAAATACCTAATCCAACCTAAAACTTAAAAAAATTTCAAAAAAAAAAAAAAAAAAAAATTAAAATCCGGCCCGGACCGGGCCCGAACCGGCCGGGCCGGTTCGCCAAAACCTGGGCCCGGGCCCGAACCGCCCAGCAGCCGGGCCGGGCCGAACCGAACCGGTGGACCCACCGGGCCCCGGGCCGGGCCGGGCCTAACAGTAACCGGGCCGGGCCGGTTCCGGGCCGGGCCGCCCGGCCCGAGTCCAGCACTACTCCATGCCCTATCTCAAGTCCCAACCCCCAACGGCCCAACCTCTCCTCCCAACACCCACTCGGCCACCACCTAAAAATTGATGTCAGAAGGGATCAGGGGTAGGGGTGGACTCGGGCCGGGCCAACCGGCCCGGAACCGGACCGGCCCGGTCAACCGGTTGGTGCACCGGTTCGGGCCACCCGGCCCGGTGGGATGGCGGTCCGGGCTCGGGCCCTGATTTTGGTGAACCAGCCCGGCCGGTCCGGGCCCGGTCCGGGCCGGATTTTAATTTTTTTTTTTGAAATTTTTTTAAGTTTTGGGTTGGATTAGGTATTTTGGGCCATTTGAGGTGGTTTGGGGTTGAGGGGGAGGGGTAGGGGGTTAAAAAGGAGAACCAAAAAAAAAAATAGACCGGTTGGCCCGGCCCGGCCCGGTTTGGCCCGGAACCGGAACCGGAACCGCCCACCGGCGGTTCGGGCCCGGGCCCTAGTTTTCTGGCCCGAGACCCGGCCGGGCCCAGGCTTGAACCGGGCCCGAACCGGCCCGAGTCCACCCATAATCAGGGGCGGACTGTAATAGAGACCAGAGGCTACTGTCCCCCAACAAATTTTTTAGGGTATATATACGTAAAATAATTTTTGCCCCCTCAAAAACTAATTTCCTAGGTCCGCCCCTGTCTGCACATCACACAAGATAGGCAGACCAAATTTGCTTCCCAACCACCACACCTTTACTTAGGGGTGGACTGGGCCCGGTCCGGTTCGGGCCTAGGCCCGGCCGGGCCTGGATGGTTTTGGGTAAGGCTCGGAACAGGCCTGAGAGTCTACCGATTTCGGTTCATTTTTTTTTTGTGTTTTCTTATTTATTTCAACCCCCAAACCCCATACACCGAAACCCGTCGGAGACACTCAGTCCAGCCCACCAAAATTCAGCCCAAACCAAAAAAAACAAGAAAAAGGCCTGGATCTAGAACCGGTTACCCCCTTGGGCCGGGCCTAGGCCTTTTTCAGGACCTGGAACTGGAACCGGTTACCCCCCTCGGGCCTAGGCCCGGAACCGATTTTCCGGGCCTGACCGGGTACAAACAGTACCGGTCTGGGCCTGGAACCGGTCCACCCCTATCTTTACTTGGCCTAACACATCCGCCAATCGCCACCAACAAAACTGTCATCGGTGATTGCTGCCACCATAACTATGACGAGGGCCGGCGGCCGCTTTAGGAACTTTGGGCTCTAGGCAAAAACTAAATTACATTATTATATTAGTAAAAAATGTTAGACATGAGAATATGAGATGTCATTTACGGAGTAATTGCTTAAAATCTTATACGTAGTATTAAAGTTTAAATTTTATATTTTTTGTACGTAAATTGAAGTGAATATTTTAAATCTTCATGGTAGTTAAATTTAACGAGAGTGTAAAATAGTAACTTTTGCTGAAAGTTTACTACCACGAAAATTTAAATCACGGCACTAGAGACAAAATTATTTTTTCGGGCTTTAGAATTGACGGTCTTCCGTTTTCGAAATTGAAAAAAGTAATTCTAAAAAAAGGAATTCGATAGATTGGACACATGATCGATTGACGATTAAGATTGAATTTTAATCCTTATAATTATATGTAACAATCAATGAATAATGAGGATGAAAGAATTGCTGGTTACCGATTCGCCTTGTGAAGATTATCATTTTTATTTAGATTTTGGTAGTTTCAATTATAATTGTAATGTTTCTATTTTCACATTTGTCAATAGACAAGTTTGGTCATTAATATATTTCATTTTTTTGAATAAAATCTTCAGAGTTTAAATATATAAAATGGAAAAGGGTCAGATCCTTGAATTTACACAGAAAAGTCAAATAAGCCCTTATGTAGGAGACTCTATCCGGCCGTCACTATTTGGGGTGGTTCCCGGTGAAATTTTTTGATGATTTTTTTGAACATCTTATTCATTAAGTCTAGTTTACTCATATCAAATTGCAGCTAAAAATTCAATCAAAAAGGCATTCAAATTAATTATTGAAGATAACTGCCAGTTATCTTCGAGAATTAATTTGAATGCCTTCCCGATTGAAGCTTTAGCTGAAATTTGATATGAGTAAACTAGACTTAATGAATAAGAGGTTCAAAAAATTTCATCAAAAAATACCACTGGGAACCACCCCAAATGGCGACGGCCGGACAGAGCCTCCTATATAAGGTTTTATTTGACCTTTTTATGTAAGTTCGAGGATCTATCTCACCCTTTTCCCTATTTAAAATGAGTGAAATTTAAAAAGATTTCGCAAAAATTAAATTTATAATACATTAATAAATAAAATGTAGTTGAAATAGTATGTGAATGATGTGAAGTTCAACATATTGCAACTAAAAATATATAAAACTGTACATATTAAATTTAACTATTTTTTTCTTTTGTGCGGGCATGCACACCTCAATTAATTTATTAATGATTTTAGTATTATACTACACATACATACTACTAATATATTTATACCGGTGGGCGTAGCTCAACTGGTAGCGAGGGAGTACCATAAGGGTTAGGTCCCGGGTTCGGCTCCCGGCAACTGCGATGAGTAGTTACTCTATAGAGCACCTCTGCAAGTACCGGGGGCAGAGCCTCACTCTCTATCTGTCAGATTGTGATTATAGTCCAATTTACATCCCCCATCATGCCGTCCGGTCAGTGTTGGGGGCCCCTCAGGGATCGGGTGTCACCTTTTTTTTTTACTAATAGATTTATAGAATTTTATCAATTCAGGACCCGAAAGATAGATTAATTATCAATTCAGGACCCGAAAGATGAAACGTATTGGTATAGGACCTGAATGATGAAAAACTGTCAATTTAAGACCTAATATTTCATAGGTTTTGATTTATTTAATTTTTTATTAAATCCATTACTACTTTTTGATAAAATTTTCTTCACAAAAGTTTATTAGTTTAATAAAACTAATTAATATTTAAATTTTTTAAAATAATAATAATAATAAAATTCATGACAACTTAGGTCCTAGATTGGTATTTAACAAAAATTACCTCAAATAGGAGTAAAAACGTTTTGAAATTCAAAAATAGAGTATCATGTTTTTATTCCCTGAATAGGAGTAATCTGCCAAGTTTGAAAAAAATGCCATGTTAAAAGCCTTGTAATGCCAAATTTGGCAGAAATTTACTCCTATTCAGGGAATAAAAAACATGATACTCTTATTTTGGAATTTCAAAACGTTTTTACTCCTATTTAGGGAATTATCTCTATTTAACAGATTCCTTCACAATGGTGGTGCCCTAGGCATTTTCCTAGGTGCCTCCCATATCTGGACGGCCCTGCTTCTGGAAGAGTTAGGTACGATCACTTTTTGGTTAAAGGGTATGTGGGACAATAAAGATTGAACTGTGAGTAAAACAATTTGTGGTTCATGTTAAACTTGGCCAAATTTTAAGGGTCAAAGGTAGTATTAGTGCTGGACTTGGGCCGGTTCGGGCCCAGACCGGGCCTAGGCCCGACCGGGCCGCCAGTTAGGAAATGTTCGGCCCGGGACCGGCCCGCCCATAGGCCGGTGCCGGTTTGGGCCGGGTCACCCGCCTGGGTCACGGGTCGGGCTACCCGCCGGGCCGGGTCGGGTCAACGAATTTTTCCCCTATTTTGCTACTTATTCATACAAGTGATGAATATTAAAAATAAACTTCAAGTGCATTTATTTGAAATAGGAACTACATTTGAGAATTGAGAAAAAAAACAATATGAAATACATTTTCTAATAAATAATAACATAATTAATAATCAATTAATTAATTTGAGAAGTGCTACATATAAAAAAATTAACGCATATTTATTTGAAATATGAACTACAAGTTTACAAATTACAATTGAGAATTGAAGGAAAAATTAAAAACATGAAATTCATTTTTATAATAAATTCTAAAATACCAATCAATCGGAATCTCCGACATAGGTAGAGCCACCCTCGGTTGATTCATCCATAAAGTGTTGGGAGGGGGTGATGCTCATTTCTTGAGCTCTACGGGGCGCATTCAACCAATCGTGGTAGCATATAAGCGTCTCAAAAGATTCCGCGCTCAAGCTCGTTCTAGATTGCGTAAGCTGGTTCTATATAAGTATACTACTATAAGATGAGTAATACACTTATATTTAATACTTTAATATATAAAGTGTATATTAAGTAGATGTAAATTGTAATATAGGTAATATAAGTAGATAATAAGTAGAGATTAGGTAGATAAGGAATATAGGTAAATATAATATATGTATTTAAAAGTAGATAATTAATATATAAGTAGATAAGAAATATAAATAATATAATACATGTATTTATAAGTAGATAATTAATATAAAGTTGATATAATATTTG